AACTCTACTCGGTTTTGAGAAGTCCTTCATGAAGTTACTACCACTGATGTGACAGTTACCGATGATAGTACAATTCCTGTTGGAGTAGATGAACCTCACGTGAAACAGAAGCCAATGAGATGGAGACCAGTACGGAAAAAGATACGTCCTGTAAAATTAAGAGACTTTGTTGCATTTTAATTTTGTGTTTGTCAATTCTGTCCATTTAATTAAGTTATTGTTAATTTTCTATTGGTTTGATTTAAGTGGCTATTGTTCCAGACGAATAATACTAAGGAATGGGCAGTGTTACAACAGAGAAGTCACGCGATGTTGGGTAGCATGCCGCTGGAATTTCTAGAAGGATCGTGACTTAGCGGGCAACCTCACGAATGTCCCAGCGTTTGCTAGATGCCCTCTTTTTTAGTATATAAGCCGGAGATAGAATGACGAGAAATAATGGAGTTAAGCGAGCAGTAGGCACCTAAAGTAAAGTGTGTGAATCACTGTGATTTTTAGCGTGTGTTACAATGTTAAGTTTAAAGTGACTGTGGAAATTCTGTGTATTAGAAAGTTGTATCCAGAAAGAATAAACTAGTTTTAGTTAAGAAAGAACTTGTATTGCTAAAGTTCCTCGATAAGAATTTCTACCGGAAATTAATAAACAAGCAGATATGCAACAATACTAAAAAAAGAGGGTGCCTGGAACAGAAAAAAGTCATGATCCTTCTAGAAACTCGAGCGCCCATGCTTCCAGTGTCGTTACACTACATTAGGTTCATAATTCCCCATCCAGTAACATTAAATGGTGTAGAAGTGTGGAATATTTCACTAAAAATAAAATGTAAATTACATAAAAAGTTTTCATAATATACAACTGCTATCAACCACTTTAATTTATAACTGCTATACGTTCAGCCATAACAGTTATTAAACAATTATTTTGATCAAATCACCCAATTATCTAGTCATGATTACTTAGACAGATTACACAGAGGTTGGGTAGTGGAAGTTTCTGCAAGTGGAAACTTTGGCTATTCTAGTTTTACTAAACCGTCGCTGAAGGTCCGACTTTGGCCTATTGGCTCTTGCCTGGAGCAAGACTGGATAAAAATAGCGAGAGCTCAATAAAAATCAGAGAGAGAACTTTATAAAAATTGGAGAGTGCTGAGAGAGTCCTTATATTACTTTAAAACGGATCTCAGATAGGATCTTTATGTCATAGTTCGGAGTAGCATCAACCCATATTCACCCAATTACGCATTAGTCCACAATATGACCTCGAATTTGATTCATTCATGATAGACTTTCTGGACACTTAACCCTTCTGTCTAATATATATATTTTGGTGAACAACAACGTCTGCTGCAAAAACTTTCATTTCATTTTCTTAAAGCATCAAATTCCGTTACCATCAGTCTCATCAAATGAATTGTATGCATCATTTCTCCACTTCCCATGTTTCATAAACCACTTGTCAACTCTCTTGATTTAAGATGTCATATAATTTACGTAATTTGTTTTTAATGAATCATCACACTGTAAAATAAACACAGGCTGCTATCACTACACACTGTAGTCCTTATTTCATATGTCACTTCTTTGTGTCTTAGTAAACCGCATTAGAGTAATAAGCCAATTATGTCACTGATAACATGTTTAATGTAAAAAACAAATGCTGAACTGCTTTAATCCTTCTTCTAACTCTTGTTAACTCCATACAATCAGTCATTCCTCATTCTAATATAACACGTATTTGAAGTAACAGCGCTCATTAAACTTATTGGCATTCCAATAAGCTATAGGTTAAAAAAATATACTATAGAAAATGTATGTGGAATAAACTGATTTCTCAAACAATTGCATTATAAGCAGCTGTTTCAAAGTGAAGTTGATATCACTAAATCATCTGTTAATGGTGTTTATCATCCTTTGAGTGAAAGTAACATTGCTAAGTCACCTGTTAATGGTTTTTATCATCCTTTGAGTGAAGTTGATATCACTAAATCATATGTTACTGATTTTTATCATCCTTTGAGTGAAAGTGATATCACTAAATCATCTCTTAATAGTGTTTATCATCGTCTGAGTGAAGGTGATATCACTAACTCATCTGTTAATGATGCTTATCATCCTTTGAGTTAAGGTGATACCACTAAATCATCTGTTAATTGTTCTTAGTATCATATGAGTAAAAATGGGCTAGTATCTGTATAAATACTTGGATTGTGGAAATTATTAAAGATGAGCCAAGATCTGTATCAATGTTTTGACTATGGAACTTAATAGCTTCTATCATCTTTTATTAACGCAGTTATTTTTATTGGATAAATATTTATAAAATCTCAATAATGTTACTGTTTTTACACGGGCAGAAATCGTGTAAAACAATAGATCTGTGTTAACTGTTTTATGTTCCTAAAATCTTGTATTTATGTGCTAGTATCAACATTTTCCATTTTGATCTTTGTTTACTGTCAATTCTTATATTAAAAAACAACAATTATAGTTATGTTTCTAACTTACATGCTTGTTTTCCAAAGCATAATGAGTTATGACGACAGAGAAACTACTTTTTCTTATACAAGTTCTAGTAGAAAAGGGTTATTTTTTTATTATTTTAAAATTTTCTTTTCCATCCTTTTATTTATTTTTTTGACATAACAATTATTGTACACCAGCTTTGTAGCAGCACAGATTTTATGTTTACTAATATTCAGAATTTTCATATATTATGCAAAAAAAAGAATGATATCAGATATAAGCAGCTTTACCATTCTGTTAATGCACTATTTTATAAAACCAATTTACACTGACTACTAGTCTCTTACAACCTTATTAACAAACAGGGTAGGGTGATTCATTTATAGATACCCCACTGATTTACAATGGCCCTCTTTCTTTAAGTGGCATAGGACTATGCATCATTCAATGTTGCAAACATGCAGATCCAACCTGTTCTGGCATCTGTAATTACACTGACTTTGTCTCTGCAAGCCAAATGACACATTGAGCCTTTTCTTGCACAGTTGCCATTTTATGGAGTAACACTATTCATTGGAGTGAAAAAAAAATAAAAAATAAAACATGACAATAAAAACTATTTGAGTTGGGCTATAAGATGTCAAAAACTGCATGGTTGTATGTCTTTAGTTATTTAATTGTTAAATTTTAAAATAAATATAATTTTGGACCACCCTGTACTACAACAAACTTATAAATGCTTAATTTTTATATATTCACTAAAAGAAAAATACACAACTATTCAAGATTACTAAATCATAACTATTCAAGGGGTGCATCATGTAAACTCAACTGTTACAATTAACTCGTTTTTTAACATCAAAAAATCAATTCCATTGTTCTAAAATGTGCACATCTCTCCTATCTTAAGTAAAAACATGAGCAGAAAATAATCAGGTAATTATATTCGTTTTTCATCACCCTACAACTAACAATCATTACAATGGATTTTATTAATTGTAGTCATATTGAAAATTTGTCTCTTTCCAAGTTATTTGTAACACATACCACACTTCTGTATATAGAAGTGAAATTCTGCTGGTACTCACTGGTACTGAAACTTATTTTTTATGGCGGTAGTAGCACTGGAACTTATTTGCTTTGTCATTTTTTTATGTTTACACATAGATTTCTTGTTCTTTTTCAAAAACAGGTCCACTTCATCCAGTTGAGTACCTCTACTTTTTTTTTTTACAATTTCACCTCTGTCTGAATATAATGACTACTGAAAAAATCTAGCTAAAAATCATACTTGGATGCTATCTCTAGAGTTTGTACATCATCCTGATGTTTGATCTTGCAACCCTTTTTCCACACACTGGAATATTATGTTAATACAAGCAGAAGTGTGATTAATGAATATCATGTTGACATAATTAGAAGCAGTTAATGATTGTCATATTAACTTAAGCAAAATATATTTTGTGATTGTCATGTTAATTTACACAGAAATAGTTAGTGGTTGTCATGTTAACTTAAAATGTTTAGTATAAAATTTGGTTTGAGATAATTACAGAAATGGAATGCCATAGAAAACTACAGTACATATTAGTTAACCAAACAAAGTAATGAAAAAGTGCTTGGATGCTGATGTAATTAAGTGAAATGGATCACTGAATAAGGCCATGAAGAAACTCAGAATAAGTGGACACATGCTTAATTGGAAAAGGGAGAAAAACCAGCAATTCAGTTTATTAAGAGGAAGCAGATGCCATTAAATGGACAGGTTGTAGAGAAATTTATGGAGACTAGGTTGCACTATCAAGATATCAATAAATACCTCACACCAAGTTCAAGTAAGAGTTCAGAATTAAGGAGATAATGAAATATAAACATTAAACTTGAACCCTATAGAGCAGGGATGTTTGAAAGGAAACACATACAAGGCAGTGGATGAGCAGCATGGATTTTAAACACATCAGAGATACAGATAAGAATGCATCAAACTCTAAGAGAAATGGGAAAGAAAGTATATGATTGATAGTATGTCATAATGCTAGTGCAACCTCATGCTGCTTCATACCATGGTTGTCTGAAGTTCAAGACAGTCACAAGCATTTGTAAGCAGACCACCATCCCCACTGGGGAACCAGCCAGCCACCAAAAATTCTTTCAATCTGAGTACCCCGATCTTCTTCGCACCAGCAACTCCTCAACTCATAACCCAGTACATACCCAAGAAATACAACCTTCAACTGCACTAAAGTTGTATGCAGAAGTAGCTTGGGCTTTACCACTGGAATGGCCAATGCAGATGCTTGACGTCAACGTCTTCTATGCCAGGATCACAGCATTCATCACGGACGTCATAGGCCCATGCAGGAAGAACTCCAACAGTGTTGACATCATGCACCTTGCCATTGAGATATGTAGGGCTGCAACCACCTAGTACTTTGGAGACTGTGACTGCCAATATGATATACCTTCTGAAGGTCATTAAACAATGTTGTTCTAGACCACGAACTGAACACGTAAGTGATATCTTGTTATTATGGTACATTTCCTACATGTTAATATTCAGGAAGGATTGCATAAAAAGAAGTATGAACTATTTCAATTGTGCAATTCAATTAAAGTAGATATTGTATGCTCAAATGAGACATTATTAAATAATAGCCATATCTTTGTTCTACCTAATAATTACAAGATGATTAAAAAACCCAAGAAATCACATAGTAGAGGTATTGCTTTATTATACAAAAAAATATCTCAAAGTAACCTTCCCATCAGGTCCTTCCTCCTGCAATAACAAATGTTTAATATGCCAAATTCATCCACCGAGCCTACCCATGATCAGCCTGCCTAATAACCCTAAATGCTTTACCAACCCCATCCCCCTGATACAACGTTTCTCCAGTCCATAATTATCCCAAAACAGTTATCATGGGCAACCTCAACTCCAAAAACTCAGATTTCAACTGCTGAGTAACAGACACAGCAAGATATTACACAAATGTTTAAAGGACAATAATATTGCTACAATTAATACTAATGACATGACTCTCACAAACACACATAGATGGATCCCAAGATCTACTAGACCTAGCTATTGTTCCTGCTTCTCTTACCTCCCATACTTTCAACTTTCTAGTTCACAATAACATTGATGACGATCATAACCCAATACCCTTTAACAAATATGAAACTCTTTCTTACATTAATTATCAGCATTCACAAATTATCGATTTCTCCCACGCAGACTGAACCAATACAGATAATCACCTCCCCCCCTATCCCCCCCCCATCCAATTAAGACATGCTTCATCAAACTAGCATCCTGCTACTACAAGCTAGCATCCTCTTACAATATTCAAAGTCACAGCAAAGGTACCTATCCCCATTTAATCTGATAAACAACTCATATAATTCTACTACTTAAGTTAATTCCTTAGTTATCATATCAAATTGTCGTGACATGTCGATTAACAAAATTTCTCTATTCTAGCCTTACAACTTGGGTACTGGTCAGATAGACTATTTGGTACCTGACCAGTGCAACATCAAACTTCTGGGCACTAGATCCTTGCCCTGGATTATGATTTTTTATATCCCCACCTCCCTGAAAAGGGGCCATTCTCATGCCCCCAAGGTTCCTCAAACCATGATATCATAAGTATTTATCTGCGTGTGTGTGTAGATAGGTGTATATTCACACACCACATATAAATTTGTGTAAGTGTACTCTTATGGCTTTTTTGTGGCAGATCTTGGTCTGCCTAGAAGTTTTCCAGCTCTCTCTTCCTCCTTCTCCAGAGCTTTGACTCAGGTGGCATCACCAACCAACTTAACCCTATTTCAAATGTATATCATAAACTCTTGCTTCTACTCCAACCTTATCAATACTTCTGAACCATTTATGTGTGAGGTGAAGAGAAACAGATGGTTTCTGAGCATCCCTGGTTGTCTTCTTCTAGTTGGAGAAGTCAACAAACAGAAATTACTGCCAAGAAAGGATTTGGGAGTCCTTCCATTCTTCAGTGAATTCTCTGAAAAGATGTCAGACTTAACATCTATGGAGAACTTTCACAACTTAAACTTCAATGCCTTCTCTACTTCATTTAGTAACATATCTAGTACAGAGTTTATCGTAACAGGTCTTATAGAAGTCAAGCTACTTAATGGTTTACTGAGTATTGTAGAGATATTAATAAGTATAGTAGAAGAATTGTTCATGAGACATCCAAATAGTAGAAGAATTGTTCATGAGACATCCAAATATTGGAGGGAACAATGTGACTGTAAATTGTCGAATTTGTTCAATTAAGTGTATGTTTTATGTTACCTGGTCTCTGAGTTGTTTCTTTGTTCCTTATATAAATTTCCTCAAGTTAGTGGCTTGAGTATTACCCATGAATGCCTATAACAAAAGTAATAAAGAAATTAATTTGTAACTAGTGTACGTTGAACCCAACAATAAAACAATTGTCATGTTAACTAAACAGAAGTAGTTAGCGACTGTCATGTTACCTTAAGGAAATGATTGTTAACTTAAGCTGAAGCAGTAAGTGATTGTGATGTTAATTTAAGCAGAAGCAGTCAGTAACTGTTATGTTAACTTAAGCTGGAGCAGTTAGTGATTGTGATTTTTACTTAAGCCGAGGAAGTCAATGATTGTCATGTTAACTTAAGCAAAAGTTTCTTAAGCAGAAGCAGTGAATTATTGTTATGTTAACTTATGCTCTGAAGCAGTTGCTAATTTATTTGTTAAATGAAGCAGAAGCAGTAAAGGATTATGTTAATCCAAGGAAGAGGCTAAAATTCCTTTTTCTCATGTAAAACTTGTTCTATATTTTCACCACTTTTCCATTCATTTTCCTAAGAAAATATCCGTTAATCTTATAAAATTGGGCTCCTAGTGACTGGCATCTTAACACTATGATTAACTCTTCTATAAGTATACGATGCAATTTTAGAAATGTATTATCTGTCACAGACACTATAATTATACACATCTTACAATTTTATGGTCTACCCACAGTGTGAGTCTTTACACTGATTATTATTTGTTTTTATTTTACTACACATTACACAAGTTACAACTACGTATCCACTCATGCTAATTGAAAAAAAGTTTTGTAGACAATGTTTTCCTACACACTACACAGTACTAAAGTTTATCTCTAGCATGTATCTTCTTATGCCTTTTTAGACTACTATTAATTACAAAATTTTTTCCACACACTACACAACAGTATGGTTTCTGTCCACTGTGTATCTTTTGATGTGTTTTTAGGTTACTACTTATTCCAAATTCTTTTCCACAGATTTCACAACTGTATGGTTTCTCTCCAGTGTGTATTCTCTGATGCAATTTCAGTTCATCATTTCTTCCAAAGCTTTTGCCACACACTACACAACTGTATGGTTTCTCTCCAGTATGTACTTTCTCATGGCTTTTTAGTTCACCATTTCTTCCAAAATATTTGCCACACACTACACAGCTGTATGGTTTCTCTCCAGTATGTACTTTCATGTGGCTTTTTAGTTCATTGTTTGTTCCAAAATCTTTGCCACATGCTAAACAGTGATATGGTTTCTCACCAGTATGTATCCTCTGATGTATTTTTAGGGTACCACTTCTTCCAAATTCTTTGCCACACACTATACAACCATATGGTTTCTCCCCAGTGTGTATTCTTTGATGCAATTTTAATTTACTATTTGTTCCAAATTGTTTACCACATATTACACAACTGTATGGTTTCTCCCCAGTGTGTACCTTCTCATGTCTTTTTAGACTACTATTAATTACAAATTTTTTACCACAAACAATACAACAATATGGTTTCTCACCAGTGTGTATTCTCTGATGTGTTTTTAGATTACTATTATTTCCAAATTGTTTCCCACATGTTACACAGTTGTATGGTTTCTTACCGCTGTAAGGTATATTACAATGTTTTAGGTTATTTCCATTTAAAATTGTTTTTCCAAATACATCATTGTTTAGTTTCTGAGATTTGTTGATTTCTGTTTCCATAAAGGAATCTTCTTGTGTTAAAACATGATCACTAGCAAACTGATTTCCAGAAGAGGTGTTTACATAGGTCTTTATATCTAAAATAAAAAATATGGATGTGAAATATACAGTTATTAATAAACACATTAATGAAATTCTAAATACATTTTCAATGGTTTAACACAATCAACTGATAAAAATAATATATCAAAGTTCAAAAGTAATTATACACCTTAAACAATTAAAAGAAATCCCTGTGTACTACAGCTTCAAGTAACAATCATCACATATGTTTTATCACTTCAAACCATTCATTGCAATTGTGAAGTTTCAACAGTGTACTTGTTTACTACATCTTGATATAATTACCATCAGGCATGTTTTATCACTTCAAACCATTTCTTGCGATTGTGAAGTTTCAACAGTATCCTTGTGTACTACATCTTGATATAACAACCATCAGGCATGTTTTGTCACTTCAAACCATTTGTTGATAGTTATTATCATCAATATACAGTGCAATGATATGTTTAAAACTAATAAACTTAAATATATACAAACATATTCAGTTACCATATCAGTAACTAGCTATTATCATCAATATACAGTGCAATGATATGTTTAAAACTAATAAACTTAAATACATACAAACATATCAGTTACCATATCAGTAACTAGCTATTATCATCAATATACAGTGCAATGATATGTTTAAAACTAATAAACTTAAATACATACATACATATCAGTTACCATATCAGTAACTAGTTATTATCATCAATACACAGTGCAATGATATGTTTAAAACTAATAAACTTAAATATATACAAACATATCAGTTACCATATC